CAGGCTAAGCTAGGTAGCCTAAATGGCATAATTCTATAGAAAACCTTTTTTCCTTGTCCTGCTTAGCACTAGATACATAAGCTTTTTAATTTTTTTTTTTTTTTTTATGTTATTACACATGGAAAACTGGAATAGTGTATTTGGGAGATTTCAAATAAAGTGGATTTTAGAAGACATTTCACTCCAATTAGACTTTTTTTCAGGCGTAGTGGCAAAGATATTTAAGATACTGATTTGCATTTTTTTGTAAACTTGATGTGACCCCACAAATATCTGGCTTTTGTAATTCAACTACATAATACCAAAGGCATGTTTTCTCTTGTTTTAGAAGAAAAATCGCCCGTTTTTATAGTAAGGTGTGTTGAATTATTGAAAAAGCACTAAAAAGTGGAAAAACACCAAAGAATGCAAAAGACCTAGGAGCTAATTAGTATATGACTCAAAAATCCGGATATGAAATGCTGGATAAAATCTGTATAAAATACTTCAAGGATGTAACAATAAAAATGTGACTAAAAAAGGGGACTCAAAAATGGGTACTATGGCTTTAAGAAAAATATATCAAGTGTAGGACTCTAAAATGTAACTGATAAATTTAAAACTTAATCATATGTGATATATAAAAACAGAGGATGAATCAGATAAGAGAAAATAAATGATTAAAATAAAATAAAATAAAAAATAAAAATAAATGCTCATAACAGTGCAAGGTGCAGTAAAATACTGTCCCTGAGAAGATACAGGATAACAGATAGTTAATACTTGCACCTAAATAATATGCTTTGTATAGACAAAGTTGCAAAACAAGCACTACAGTATGAGGAACTGTGTGCTAAAATAAATAATGTAGCGTGGATACAAGGTAGAAAGAGAGATACTGGATAGAAATGCAAAGTCCAGTTTATTAAAAATAAATATAGATTAAAATATGAATTCATCAAAAATGATGGTCGATTCCTCACTCCGGGGTGTGTGCACAGTGAATAGTCTAAGTCCACAGGTTCACCAAGGGTCCTGAGCAATGGGGTGCTTCTAATGCTGGTTACTAGCACAGTTCTCTCTGAAGGGTCCTGAGCAAGTGGGTGCTTCTAATGCTGGTAACAAGCATTAGAAGCACCCACTTGCTCAAGACCCTTGGTGAACCTGTGGACTTAGACTATTCACTGTGCACACCCCCGGAGTGAGGTCCGTGTTGGGACGCACACATCGATCTGCACGCCGTCCTCAACCGGCAGACAGACCACAGAGCACCAGAGCACCAGAGCACCAGCTGCCAAGTCAATCCACATCCATCCTGGCTGATTCCGAGGGTCTGTGAATATTTGTGGACTTCATTGGACTGGTAACATATATTTGCACATGAATTGACCATCATTTTTGATTAATTCATATTTTAATCTATATTTATTTTTAATAAACTGGACTTTGCATTTCTATCCAGTTTCTCTCTTTCTACCTTGTATCCACGCTACATTATTTATTTTAGCACACAGTTCCTCATACTGTAGTGCTTGTTTTGCAACTGTGTCTATACAAAGCATATTATTTAGGTGCAAGTATTAACGATCTGTTATCCTGTATCTTCTCAGGGACAGTATTTTACTGCACCTTGCACTGTTAGGAGCATTTATTTTTATTTTTTATTTTATTTTATTTTAATCATTTATTTTCTCTTATCTGATTCATCCTCTGTTTTTATATATCACATATGATTTAGTTTTAGAATTTATCAGTTACATTTTAGAGTCCTACACTTGATATATTTTTCTTAAAGCCATAGTACCCATTTTTGAGTCCCCTTTTTTAGTCACATTTTTATTGTTACATCCTTGAAGTATTTTATACAGATTTTATCCAGCATTTCATATTCTGATTTTTGAGTCATATACTAATTAGCTCCTAGGTCTTTTGCATTTTTTAGTGTTTTTTCTCTTTTTAGTGCTTTTTCCTTATTCTATATAGGTTTTAGTGGAACCCTATCTTCCTAGTTAGTAGCTATTTAGTTTTAGTCCTCCTCCCTCTTTGCTGTGTATCACATTAGGTGTACCAGATCTATCTATGTTGAATTATTACTTACTTTTTAATGGCAAACATCGCAAGGCCAATGCGAACTCCTCTTTGGTGGAACTGGGCATTCAATATGTCAATGTTATAGGTACCATTCCACACAATAGGGGCAAGCCACGGTGTCATCATCACCACATCTGTTCTTCTATAATATTGTGAACATACATGCAGAGTTAGACATTTTTACCCTCTGTATGAAATCACTGATTTTTTTATTCAAGTTTTGAATGATATTTCTGGTTCAATAATATAACTCAAACATTTTCTAAAAATATTGCAAATCTTTTTTTGTATTTGATTTTTTGAAAAGTTTCTCTTTTTGAAGTTGGCAAAGATGGTACAATGTTATTATCCCAGATGTTTACTGAATAGACCTTTACACAGCTTGTAAAATAAATGTTTAGCATAAATACATTCCACATAGCTTTCATTAGGTTCATATTAATTTTGTTAACCATTATTTTCATTCATTCAGCTATACATTGGATCAGGTCATTGGCAAACCAACAAATCACAATATGCTGAAAGCTCTTAAAGTCAGAGGCATAGAGAAGCTTTTGCCACATTATACCCTTGCCAATGGGCAGGAAGATGTGATTTATTTAATTAGTTATATATCTGGTGTCACATAGACACAGCTAAAAGAAACTCCCCTTAGCTGAGAGGCGTGCCCAACAATGCAGTCTGACCAAGTTTGTGGTTATTTTTTTAAACTTTATAGAGTATTTCTTACATACTCTTTACATTATTTTTTTTCTTGCTTTATTTTGTTTTGTATATTTAATAAATTTAAGTGTTTGGTTTAAAAATAAATAAATAAATATTCTAGTGATGCATGTCATTTTAACAACTTTCCTATTAGCAGTTCCCAGTTTTGTAAACTAGACAAGGGAACTGCAAGTTTTAAGCCACAATAAATGAGCTTGGAAAGTCAGAGCTGAGGAGATGTTTTAACATTCAGAACTGGTTGCTAAAATGTTGTCCTTACCAACTATGCACAATTGATGGTTTAGGCAATAGTTATTTTGCGCCTCACTATCACCACTGTTAACAATATAGAGAATCAGAGAAAAGTTTGAATATATAACTCACGGTGGGGTAAGAGCTTGCGGTTTCTCATACAACATTCTGAAAGCACAAAAAATAGATTGTATTTTAATTAAGATTTAAAGCTGTTATTGGCACAAATGTGGTGTATACATATATTGGTGATATTTTGCAGATGTTTTATTTTTGTAATAAACTTTAACAATGAATAGATGAATCATGGCTTGAGTGATCTGTAGGTGTGTTTGAATTAAAGGGTTATTAAAAAAAAGTGAGAATTCAAAGTGAAATGTAAATTAGAGGGAGTGGCCAAGTGCTTAATCCAGATGCACGCACACTGCTGAGGATCAAGCATTGGGAAACGGCAAATACATTTTCAGCCCAACTATGTCCCAGAGCCTTAAGGCTAAAACCAGCAAAGCCAATTGGGCTTCATTTTTCCTGACTTGAGCCTTGGTGCTTAAGGCCAGAGTGGGCCTTGGCCCTATGCAGCTGAGGGCTGGCAGCCTTAGGCCTGGGGGGCAAATCCAGTCAAGTGGCCCATTGCACCAAGAGGAGAGTAAACACCTTTCCCATGTGATTGAAAGGGGTGGGGCAGTCACCTAAACAGACACTCAATGACAGGCACACACACGCTTGCTGATTTGGCACACTAAAAAACACACACTCACTGACAGGCATAAGCATACACTGAAAGACACACTGTTACAGGCATACTGACTCAGACAGACAGACATACTGACACACACACACACACACACACAGGCATACTGGCTCACACACACACACACACACACAAACTGGCACACACACAGAGACATACTTGCACACACATAGACATATTGACACACACAGACAGACATACTGGCACACACAGAAAGACACTGTTACAGGCATACTTACTCAGACAGACAGACATACTGACACCAGTGGTGTATCCTGGTTTTGTGCTGCCCTAGGCAGGACAAAACGTAGGCACCCTCCCGCGCTACCCCCACCCACGCAACCGCCACCCAACCCTTCCCCCCTGCTCCGCCTTCTAAATACACACACACACATTCACTGACAGATACGCATTCACTAGCTAACAGAAATACACACTCACTAACAGACACACACTCACTCACTCACTAACAGACACACTCACTCACTAACAGACACACACACTAACAGGCAAACACACACTCACTAACAGACACACGCACACACTCACTAACAGACACACGCACACACTCACTAACAGACACACACACACACACACACACACACACACTAACAGGCAAACACACACACACACTAACAGGCAAACACACACACACTAACATACACACACTAACAGACAGACACACACACACACTAACAGACACACACTAACAGACTCACACACACACACACACTAACAGACACACACACACTAACAGACACATACACTAACACTAACATACACACACACTAACACTAACAGACACACACACTAACAGACACACACACTAACATACACACACACACACTAACAGACACACACACACACACTAACACACTCACTTGTGTTTTTTTTTATTTCCTCTCCCTGGGGTCCTGGGGTCCAGTGGCTGCAGGGCGGGCGGGTTGCCGGCGAGGGAGCTCTTCCCCTGAGCGCTCTGCTCAGCTCCCTCACGCGCCGCCAGCAGAGTGAGCCCGGGAGCCGGAATATGACGTCATATTCCGGTTCCCAGCCTCACTCGGCGGCGCGCGAGGGAGCTGAGCAGAGCACTCAGGGGAAGAGCTCCCTCGCCGGCCGCCCGCCCGCCCAGCGCGCCAGCTCGGCAGCTCGGCATGTCTGTTAGCCGCGAGGCTAACAAGGCATTTGCCCTGGGCATTTGGGGGAGGCTTTTTTGCCACCCCCTGAAAAATGTCGCCCAAGGCAAATGCCTTGTTTGCCTCGCGGCTAATACGCCCTGACTGACACACACACACAGGCATACTGGCTGACACACACACACACAAAGACAAACTGGCACACACACAGAGACATACTTGCACACACACAGACAGACATACTGACACACACACAGGCATACTGACACACACACAGGCATACTGACACACACACAGACAAACTGGCACACACACAGAGACATACTTGCACACACATAGACAGATATACTGGCACACACACAGACAGACATACTGGCGCACACACACACACACACACACACACACACACATACTGACACATACACAGACACACAGACATACACCCAAACTTTACACTTTTAAAACCAGTAGACAGGGCTGAGTAAGGGGACAGGGCTGTAGTGGGGGAACAGGGGCTGTACTGGAGGGTATACGCTGTAATTGGGGGTTTAGGAAATGTAGGGGGGGATAGGGGTTGAAGTAGGTTGATGGCTACAATTTGGGAAAGGGCTGAGGAGGGGTGACAGGGGCTGAGTAAGGTGACAGGGGCTGACTAAGGGGACAGGAGCTAAGGTAGGGGACAGGGGCTGAGTAAGGGGCTGAGGAGGGGACAGGGACTGCAGGATCTGCAGTCAGTGAAGTCGGCCGGCTTCTCCTGATAATGTCAGGAGGAGGGGGCGTGACTTCCTTTGCTCTTCTCCCAGACTCCCCAGTGGTCCTGTGAGAAGGGCAGTGAAAGTCATGCCCACTCCTACTGACATTATCAGGAGAGGCCGGCCGACTCCACTGGCTGCAGGGAGAGAGGTGAGTTGAAAAATCCAAATCTCAGCCAGAGGCAAAGAATTCAGATTTTCCAATTTTTTTGCTTTGCCTGGGTTTAGGGCGGCCTGGGGGTCTACTCGGCCTCTCTTAGTCCTCATTGGCTGCATCTTAATGTCTTTATTTGCATAATTAGAAGAGTCCACGGACATCTGAGTGTCTCAAAGTCCCATAAATATAAACACAATTTGCATTATCTTTTGCTAAATAGAAGTAATAATAACTTACTAATTAATAATTACCTTTCGTGTCACTTTACCCTACGCCGTCTATCATGTAAACTCATTGAGCAGGGCCCTCAACCCCTCTGTTTCTGTGCGTCAAACTTGTCTGGTTACAGTTACATGTTTGTTAGTTCACCCATTGTACAGCGCTACAGAATTTGTTGGCGCTATATATATATATATCATAATAGTAACGTAAAATAATACATATAATCACATGATTTCAAGTACAAAATTGTAGCATAATTATTATCTTTAAAACTAAAAAAAAATTTAAAACCTGAAAGACCATAATTGGATGTTAAGAATGTTGCAGAGAAAATTGTAGCTTACTTATAATTTTTAAAGGAACAGAATTTACAATAAAGACAATTGTAAAAGGATAGCTCCTCCAAAAAAATTTAAATAAACACTATGACAGGAATGTGAGAAGGATCAACATAAATATTAAAAGTGTAAACTTCCATCACCATATACACTATAAAATATGCTGGGGCAAAGAGATGAGATGGCATTTTCAAGTCAATTTTGCCAAACATCAAATAAAAAGTAAAATATATATATGAGTAAAAAATCTAAAATTAATTTATGAAGTTGTTCTAAAAATGTTATAAAAAATTGCAAATTTCAAAATCATTATTCAATACACATGAGATTAATGTGTTGAGTTCAAATATCCATCTCATCTCTTCCATTCTTTTTACAAAATCTTCCCCTCTCCAATTTTTCTTCACCTTTTGAATGCCTTTAAATTTCAAGCTAGAAGGATCCACATTATGTTTATCCCTGTAATGTACGGACATTTGATGTTGGGATATTTCCTTTTTATGTTATATATGTGCTCACCTATCCTCGATTTTAGTGGTCTAGTGGTACGCCCCACATAATTAAGACCACAAGGACAGGTGAGCACAATTTTTGATAGTATATTTTTTGTTAGTAAATTCTTTTTATATAATATCTGTGTTTTTGTTTCCTGACACGCCTTACATTTCCCACACCCCAAAAAATCTTCATATTGCTGTACAAAATTTGTTGCTATTCTATCTTATTTGTGTTCTCCAATAATGTTATTTGTCAAAGTTCTTTTCAGGTTTGGTAATCCTCTATGGATGATTTTAGGGTAATTTCTTTTAAAAATGTGTTAAATAAAGTGGGATTCCACAGTTAATACCCCGGTAGGCTTAATCAAATCCTCCATACATTTAGAGAAGTGCTATATAGGTGATACCTAGTGCCGACCAATATGCCAATTGCCAATTGTTAGAGATGCCAACGGAAGGTGGGAACTTTGCTCCATGTTGGCAATGCCCCTCATTGGCAATCTTCAGGGCTCAAGGTCCACAGCACAATTAAAGACATCACGGACTGCTCCATAAACTTCACAGCCATACCGTATCTTTTTTTGAAGCTCCAAAATCAGGAAAACGTGAACGCTGATCATACATATTATCCTCGCAGCCCAAAGGCTCATAGCGAGAAAGTGGGAAACCACCACAAATACCATCCATGCATCCGCTTATGGCTGACATTAAGAGAAATTATAAGACTAGAATTACATTTATATTTTCCTCCACAAAGTTAGCCATGGAGACATGGAACCTATGGGGCACATGGAGATTGAGTAAACCAAATTTAGATGTGCACTACTCTACTCCACTTTTGGAAAAACAATAACAATTCTCAAATGGGAAAATGGCTATTTGACTGTTAATCAGATAACAGGCACTGTTCCTTCCTGGTTGTTTAGCTCGGTGAAGCTAAACTTGAGGCAGCAATTGCCCAGAGCACCTGCCTTGTAAATATTTCTCATTGAGCTGCATTGGGAAGCCTGTGATTGGACAGCCACAGCAAGTCTGGGAGGGGTTAGAAAGGGAGGGCTTGCAATAGGTATCAGACAAGAGATCTGCAGCTTTTCCAAGCTATATTTAAATATAACACCCAGTAAGATGCATAACTAAATGCGTGCATGTTTTCATTGGGGTGTATATATTAAACAGTGATTTTGATTTTTTTAATTTTTTTTTTATATTTGGGAATTACAATTTAAATTTGAATTGCAATTTAAATTTGAAATTCACTTTGAATTCTTACTTTAATAAATATCCCCGTGGTATGTATCTTAACAATACAATCATTAAATAAATAACTGGTGCAGTCATTACAATAAACAAATCAAACTGTCTATATATTACTTTTATAATGGATAAAGTGCATGGGTAGCAACAATGTATCACACATGGGGCATCCTATGCAACTGCATTTGGTCTAGCAAGTTTCATATTACAGCTGCTGGGATCTAAAGCTGTCTCTTTATCAGCCAGGTCTTACTAAACAAATGTTGTGAAGGTTTGTGAGTAGCCCCTTTGTGAACTGGTCAATTAGCCGACCATTTTCCTTCATTTTAATGGTACTGGCACTAAGGCCAACATAATTTTCACCTCTTGCTTCCTCAGTAGTGATTATAGTGAAGTAACACTGACAGATCCATTAGAGGCCATGAGGCAAATTACAAAAGGCTCACTCACAGATGGGCAGAAATACTAACATTGCCACTTGGAGAAACTCACTACTTAAAGCAACCCACTCACAGTTTAGAAATATCCACAACAAAAGAAAGCAGTCCACAAACATACAAAAAAAAAAGGGAGAAGGTAAAAAATGGGAATGGGCATCTCACATCACATTTATTACAATGAAGAGCACTGGATATTTTATAAATGCAGACAAGCATATGAAGAAATGCTGTACCCATCCTTTACCCCTAGTCAAAGGTTAAGTAACAAGTGGGCTATATATAATCCTACTGTGAGACCTGCCTCTCTAAGTGGCTGGCATGTCAATGGGCCGCTAAGAAGCTGGGAGTAATTAAAATATTATCTATCTATATATGTTGAATATGTGTAACAGTATACAAATACTACATATGATATAATAGCAAGTAGGGGTTATTAAACTAAACAGGGGACCTACTGCCCCATTGAGGGCACCCAAACAGAGAAGACTGCCTAAGTGCTTCCCGCATGGCCCTATTGCATTCAGCACAGCACAGTCATGTTTACTGGTTTAAATGGGGACATTCGTCTATCATATGGAAGGAGTTTCAACTACATTTGGTTCCAATTCACTGTTATAACATGTGATTAATTTTCAGAAAATGGGGATGGAATGATTGGGAACTGACTGGAGGAGGGTGCTGACCTCAATAAGACGTACAGGCAAAGGATAGGAAAGACCTTATAGAGTAGGAGAACACACTCACTGAAACATCAATGGGAGCTGAGGTTTTGGACTATTTAAAGAGGAACTCCATCAGGACAGTTTATGACATGAGTAGTTTGGCTTTTTATTTTATATGTGATTTTATTTGGTACCTATAAAAAGTCCTAAACAGGAAGAAATGCGTTTGACCAATCATTTTTAGTTTCCTTTATTATATATTAACATAATTTTGCAATACATATTTGCAACAACGGTACTCTAGCAGTATGGAATTTCTGAGAGTGGCTGTTGAGGTCCCATCCTCTGACTACATGGTCGTATGGGTTCATTTAGCCCCTGAATAGATCAGGAGAGGCACCTTGAAGTGAATTACATTGTCCTCATCGTTCTCTTTTGTTTTTGATATCAATACAAAACATTTACTTCACTATTATAGATTTGTAGCTGTGTACAATGTGTTTCTTATACAATAATATACTATATAATATACTATATGTTCTTGATACAATTGCACTGTGCTTTCTGGAGACAGCAATGGAAGAATATCAGGACAGTGAGCAGATGATCTGATATGAGACTGTTGGGAGGCATGACTTAGACACACCCTAGAACACAGATGCACACTAGTACAAAGACACACCCTAACTCACAGATGCACACTAGTATACAGACACACCCTAGCACACAGATGCATCCTAACCCACATACACGCTCTAACACACAAATACTAAAATGCATTCAAACACAGACTATCAGAAATCCATAGACACACACCCTAGCACACATGCACACATGCACACAAGCAAACAAACTAACATCCATCCATAAACTTAGACTTATATACACACACAAGTTCAGTGGTGAAAATACTACCGGTACAACTGCACCGGGCCCGACACATGGAGGGGGCCCATTGGATGGCCCAAGGTACATGGGCCTCTTGATGGTATTACTCAACAGGGGCCTCCTTGGGCATAGAGGGCCTTTAACAGTGCGACTGAACCCTGTTGTATCGTTGATTCTGAGAGGAACTGAGTGTCTTCCACTTCCTCCCAGAAATAGGGAGAGAGCCACGCAGGAGGCAGGAAGCAGGTAAAAGCAAGGACAATGCCAGCTCCAGACTTACACTCCTATTTGACTTTACCAGCACCATGATCCCAAGGAAGCCACCCTCCTGCACAAAAAAAAAAGTATGTTAACAGGAGGGTGGCAAAAAATATTACATCTATGTGTGTTAGTGTCTTTTTGTTAATGAGTGCATCTGCATGTGGGTGTGTCAGTCTGTGTATGTGTGTGTCAGTATATGTGTGTGTCAATGTGTATCTGTGTAAGTGTATGCGGCAGTGTATGTGTAGAAGTG